CCCTTTCTTCAAAAGTTCTCCAGATATGAAGCTGTCTGCTTATCTCCTAGTTAATGAGGGCAGTTTGTCATAGAGATAAATCTTAGGGCTCCCGAATTATTGAGAGGTGCCAAAAGTGAGAGGACAATGACATGCACTGAGACAAGGGGGACTGTTCATTCCCCTGCTCTAACCAGTTACATTAATACCCAGGTCATATCTTTGCAAGTCCTTTCAATAACATCTAACGCAAGCCCTTTGTTCTCTTGGTTAACATCATTGTTACCTCCCACCAACCCCCAACCGTCCATAGAACTAACTGTTGCAGCAAAGACAAACACCAGCTAAGTTGGACTGTGCGTGCTAGCTTTCCCCCCTACAGTTGACCACCTTTTTATTGAGAGCATCGTAACTGGAAGGGACCCTAAAGCTCATCTATATCACCGGTGTCAAACTCAAGCTGCCCACAGAAGGAGTACAGATTTAAATGCAATTTGGAAATGTTTAACAAAAATAAGTAAAACTGCAATACAATTCAGATGATGTTAATTTGCAGCTTTCTAGGTCAAAAATGCAGCCATTTCTATTTGAGTTCAACACCTGAGCTCTACATGAATCCCCTCATTTTTTAAGATGAAAAACCAGACCTCCAGAGATTTGCCCAGGGTGGCCCAGACAGTGTGTTTACCACAACTTCTCAGGAAGGAAGATTCAAGCCCCTCCATTGGCTGATGATGAGACTAGGACTCCTTTTCCTACAAAACCTATGATTTTGATGCCCTAAGAGCTGACGTCATGAACAAACCCCCCAAAAGTCAGGTGGGGATGTGACAACAACAGCATTACAAGCAGAGGCAGCTGATCTGAGGACACAGGAGTGTGAGGTCAATAAACGCTTGAGAATTTGTCGCTTGGGACTTCTCTTTCTGTTTGAATTATAAAACAAACAGAGCAGGGCAGAGACAGTAGAAGGGGTAGGTGGGCACCTTGGCTAGCTCCAGCCTTGGAAGGGACCATAGGTCCACAGGATATGGGGCAGCAAGGAAGCTATGAGAACACCCAAACAACCCTCTTCATTTTGCAAATGAGAAAACTGAGGTCCAAGAGGTTAGCACTCTGATTCCTGAAATAATTTTTCAGCATTTGTATTTACTTCCTCGGGCACATATCATACCCTCCTTCCTCTGCAGCAGAATGTAATCTCCTTGAAGCCAGGAGGTAGCATTTTTCTCTCTGTGTCTGCAACACTCTGAATAATGCTTTCTTTTCACAGAGTGGGCACTTAAGGGTTTTGAATTCAGTTGAAGTGACCCCCTCCAAGGTCACAGGTAATAAGGGACAGACCCAGAATGACCAGTATAAACTGGGTGTTTTTTTCCACCAGCCCCCACTGCCTCCCAAGTGGGACTGAACTGGATGTTCATTTTGCTTCTACCAGGAACTACCTCTAGCCAGGGATTTTGTTTTTTGTTTTTAATTTTTAGGCAATTGGGGTTAAGCCCAGGGTCACACAGCTAGTAAGTGTCAAGTGTTTGGTCTGAGGCCAGATTTGAACTCCGGTGCTCCTGACTTCAGGGCCGGTGCTCTATCCACTGCCAAGTGGCTGCCCCTAGCCAGGGATTTTGGAGTGCAACAGCTGTGTACCATTAGCCAACTGGCCTCCAGGTCTGCCCTGGGGGGTGAACGAAGACTGTCCTAGGAGTCCAGACCAAAAGACCCAGAGATCAGATCAGTGGTGCCTTTGGCATCAGGCTCCTTAGGCTTTTTCCCCCCTTTTGCCTGAAGGGGGCAGCAATTCACAAGGGTCCGAGTTTGTTGGGGTTTCATGAGCTATGCTCATTTGAAGACATGCATTGCCTACACCAGAATAAAGGGAGTGGTTCCTTAAGAAGCTGTGTTCCCCACAAATGCATTGTTGGTGAAGTTGTGAAATGATCCAACCATTTTAGAGAGCAATTTGGAACTATGTCCAAAGGGCTACAAAAATGTGCATACCCTTTGATCCAGCAATAGCACTTCTAGGGCTATATCCCAAAGAGATCAAACAAATGGGAAAAGGACCCACATGTACAAAAAAATTCATAGCAGCTCTTTTTGTGGTGGCAAAGAATTGGAAATTGAGAGGATGCCCATCCATTGGGGAACGGCTGAGCAAGTTGGGGTATATGAATGGAATGGAATACGATTGTGCTATAAGAAATGATGAACAGGCTGACTTCAGAAAAACCTGGAAAGACTTGTATGGTCTGATGCTGAGTGAAGCAAGCAGAACCAGAAGAACATTGTACACAATAACAGCCACGTTGTGAGATGGCTAATATTGTTAAACCGAACCCTTCCCAGCAATACAAGGATCTAAGACATCTCCAGAGACCTCGTGATGAAAAATGCTATCCACATTCAAACAAAGAACTATGGAAGTTGAATCACTATCATTTTGTTTTCTCTTCTGTTGAGTTTTGTTTCTTCTTTCTGATGGTTCCTCTTATTGGTTTTAATTTTTACTTACAACTTCACTAATGTGAAAATATGTTTAATAGGAATGTAAATGTATAGCCTATATGAGATTGTGCGCCGTCTTGGGGAGGGTGGTGGGGAGGAAGGGGGAGAAAAATTTTGAACTCAAAAGCATATGGAAGTGATTGTTGATAAATCAAAATAAATTAATAAAATTAAAAAAGAAAAAAAGAAAAGAAGCTGTGTTCCCAATCCAGGCAGGAGCTGCCTACCTGTGCGTCCTGGTTGCACCTCCCACTCTACACTCATTGCCCAGTTTGATCCCAAGGGAAAGTTGGCTGGTGATCCGTGTCAGGGAACTCTGTTACTCAGAACTAGAAGGTGCCCATCAATTGGGGAATAGGTAAACAATTTATAGTATATGAATTTAATGGAAACAGCTGTGAGATTAGAAATGATGAAAGAGAAGATTTCGGAAAAACTTTGGAAGATTTATATGAATGGATACAGTGTGAATTAGGGAGAACCAGGAGAAAAAATTATACAATTACAACAGTGTTGTAATGATAAATAACTCTGAAAGACATAGGAACGCTGATCAATGCACTGACCAATAACGATTCCATTGGACCAATAATGAAGAATGCTACACATCTCCGACAGAGAGATGATGAACTTAAGGTGTAGAAAAAAGGTATATTTATGGACTGAGCCAGCACAGGAAATCTGTTGTGCTTGATTATGCTAATTTGTTACAAGGGTTTTGTTTTCTCTTTTTTCATTGAGGGAAAGAGAAAATTAACATTTGTTAATTGTTTTATTAATGGAAAAATAATATAATTAAAATTTTTAAAAATCCACCAAATTTAAATATCTAACTTGTCTTTTTTTCTCATTTCTCCTTTCTAGAAAAGAGAAAATAGCCAGTTCCCCCACCCTCCCAAAGGTGATCTTATCTTACAAAATCACTTCGAAGGCCTGGAGTTCTTTGTAAGTATTAATCTTGGCAGTAGAAAATGCAAAAAATATATATACATATATTTTAAGATTCTTTCCCACACAGAGGAGGGAATTACATGCATAAAACCACTGTGCAGACAGAGAATAGACAAGCCAAAATCTCTGTGCAAGTCTTGGCAGCTGTGTGGAAAGTCCAACCGTCTCATTCACAACGTGTCCATGTTGTTTGCAGGACAGGGAATCTCACAGGAAGGAGACTGACCTTGGTTTGGGTGCACACCCCGGCAAAGAAGGCACCCAGCTCCACGCTGTGCGCTTCCCCGAGCCACCGTCCCAGGAGACCTGCCACTAGATGTCGGAGGCCTCAACGAGCAGTGGCCTCCAGTCCTCACCAGGACTCGGAAGGAGGCAGATGCGGCAGAATTATAAAGCCCTTGCCAATTTTCTGTAACGGCTGTGGTAATTGGACAGTACGGGAACATGGACCACCAAAAACCAGATGCTCCCCAAATTCCATCTGAACCAGGAAGTAAGAGGCAGGGGCTGCCTACCCAAACTGCCACCTGCTTCAATTCCATCAACTATGTCTACAAAGTTTGGTAGGCGGCTAGATGATGCAGCTGTGCTCGGAGACGGGAAGACCTGAGTTCAAATTCTGCCTCAGATACTTAGTAGCTTCATAGTCTGGACAAATCAACTAACCTGTCTACCTCAGTTTTCTCAAGTGTAAAATGGGGATAACAATAGCACCTACCTCTCAGGGCTGTCCTCAGGATCAAATGAGATAACATTAGTAAAGTGCTCAGCGAACTTTACAGCCCTGTGTGAGTGCTGGCTATCGTAGGGGAGGGGATAGGTGTTTATTAAGCACCCCTCTACCAGGCACATTCATTAAGTGACTCCGAGAAGGCGCTGTGCCAAGCACTTCACAAACATTGTCTCATTTGATCCTCACAAGAGGGGCGTCAGGGAAGGCCTCACCTCGGAAGGTGGTTCATGATGGAGAGACTGAAGGCAGGGCTTCTCAGAGGCCCAAGGAAAGAGGAAGAGGCATGAGACATTAGCCAGGAATGAAGCAGGAGGTGGGGTGCTGGGGACGGAGGCAGGGCAGGCAGAGCGGCCAGTCGCTTACCTGGCTGGATTCAGTTTGTTAGCTCTCAAACAATCAGCATCTGATTGTGAAGCAAGCAACTGACTTGTGAATCGTTAAGCAAACAGCCTTTGAATAACAGAAGTCCCAACTATACAGAAAGATGCACAAAGTCCCCGGGTCTGTCTGTCTCTCTCTGTCCCTCTTTCTCTCATTGGGAACAGGGAACCACTCCTCCTTGAGTTTTTAGAGTCAACCGCGGTTCTGTGGAATGAGCACGGGTTCAAATCCTGCCTCCAGCACTTACTACTTGTGAGACTGTAACTTCCCTGACCTCCGTTTCCTCATCTGTAAATGATGGGGCGGGTCTGCACAGGCCCTGAAGTTCCTTCAGCTCCAGACCCACAGCGTTGCCATCATCCCGTGGCCCCCCAAACTTTTCCTGAGCGTGGCAAGTGCTGACTTTAGCCTAGACTGTAGCTGATGCTCACGAGAAAGCAGAGCTTGCACTCACCTCTCCAGTAGCATAGAAATCATTCTTCCTGTACTCTGGAAACAACTGGAAAAACTGAGTGAGTGCACTGCAAAAGGAAAAAAAATCATGATAAATCTGAGCCAGAATAAAACTAAACACTAGCCAGACAAACCATCAACAATCTACAGACATTTAGTAAGTGCCTACTGTATGCCAAGCACTGGAACTTGAAGGAACAAAATCAAATCAGCACCTGCCCTCAAGGAGCTGATATTCTTTTTTTTTGGGGGGGGGAGTTGGGGTTAAGTGACTTGCCCAGGGTCACACACAGCTAGTAAGTGTCAAGTGAAGGAGCTGGTATTCTACAGGGGAACAAGATGCCCATATAAGGATATACAAAATATACACAAAGTAAACACAAGGTAATTTCTCAAGGGAAGCACACAGATCACTTGGGGGTCTGTGAGACCAGCAGACAAAACTCTGAGCGGCCTTGGTCAGAACAAGCGAAGGCAAAGACCGTGCATGTCTAAATGCTGCTCTGACTGCCCCTCGCCCAACTCAACGAACCCTGCGCCGAAGCAAACAAACTCAGTTCAGCAAAGAGAGTGAAGGGAGCAAATGAGAGGCCGTGGCATGCCCTGAGAGGAGCACTGGCTGCTCAATTACTGGTGACTGGTGACTGGTTCCATGAAAAAGGGACGAGCAGATGGGCAATATCAGGAAAGCCATTAAAGTAACTAAACATATTAATAAATCAACAAGGGTATAAGTATCTGCTGCTTGTGCCGGACTAGGTGCAGCAAAGACCTTTGACAAAATACAGTGCGCAGTTCTGTTAAAAAAAAAAAGTGCAGGCAAGGGGGCAGCTGGTGGCCCAGCGGATGGAGCATCAGCCCTGGAGTCAGGAGGACCTGAGTTCAAATCCAGCCTCAGACTTAATACTTACTAGCTGTGTGACCCTAACCAAGTCACTTAACCCCCATTGCCTCCAAAATTAAAAAAAAAAGTTCAGGCAAAAAGGAGAGGTCAAAAGGAAAGGATGGAGCATTTACAGCAATAATTAGACTTAAAGTGTGTATGAAACAAACCAAAATTAACTAGGCTCAAAAAAGAACTAACATCTGATGCAAATCAAGGAAGATCTCAGGCAGAACAAGGCAGCTAAAAACTGGGCTTTGGAGGCGCTCATGTCCTCAAGTCACTGGGTTTTTGATCTGCTGCAGCTGAGGGGAAGATGCTGGGGAAGCAGCACAAACTGCACCCCCCAACTCCCACAGTGGAGAAACTGGCCTTGGGCTCCAAAGAGTCCCAGGTTCAAATCCTGCCTCAGACACTTACTAGCTATGCAAGCATGGACATTATCCTTCTGGAGCTTCTTCATCTCTCCAATGAGGATAATAAAAATATCACTATGATAATATAATTTACCTCAGGGGTTGTTATAAGGATCAAATGAGGCAAAATGCTTTGTAAACCTGCGTGCTCTGACCCCTTTGGGAAGAGGAAGAGGATGAGGTGACTGTGTCCCTTATCACAGACAAACTCAAAGTGTTCTAGAAACCTACTTACGTTCTTAGTCCAGAGCCGTGGGATGAATGGAGAATTCACTAACCCCCCTTCCTGATGGAGGGGCAGCACACAGCTTCAACAGATCCCCCATTGCATGAGGGCAAACACAGAAAAACCAGGGAGCAGCCACCGCCTGCGGGAAGGCCAGCTCGGAACCATAAATGGATACGAAAGGAAAATGTCCTCAGAAGCTAGAGCTGGAGGCCATGTGGGCCAAACTCCTCACTTTTACAGATAAGGAAACCCCTCACTTTTACAGATAAGGAAACTGAGCTCTCCAGAGGAAAAGACACCATCTGCCTAAAATCACAGAGCTGGGACTGAAACTCATTTACCCTGAGTTTTGAGCTGACACCTTATGAAGATGGCATAGCATTTTACAAACCTTGAACTGATACATGAATGCTATCTTTTATAATTGTCATTATTATTATTCAAAGGAATTGGGGATATTTAATCTAGAAAATGGAAGAGTGGATGGGGGGATGAGCCATTAGCTGACTTCCCATGTTTGAGGAGCTGGGAAGAAGAGGGATCCGACTTTTTAATTTGTTTCCAAAGGTCAAAGCCAAGAGTGATGAATGGATGGTTTTCAAAGAGGCAATTGCAGGTTGATGTGACAAAATCCTTCCTTCCAAGCAGAGCTGTCTGGTCACCTGGGGAGATGGCTGCTGGGTTTCCCCTCCTTTGTAGCCTGCATACAGAGGCCAGCTGGAGGCTTGTTGCATCCGTCCTATCACCTTTTGGGCGAGCTGTGCCTGTGAAATGCCTTCTGACCTGGGGATTCTGGGAGCTCCCAACACCGTGGGCCACAACGCCCCCAGAGCTACAACAATCTTCCTAAACCACACAGACCAGAACAAACAGCAAGAGCTATGTCCTGATCGCCCAGAGGCGGCTAGAAGCCCCCATCGGTGAAGAAGTGGAGAAAGAAAAAAATGGCACCAGGCAAGAAACAGCCACAAGGTGAGCCCTGAAGGACAATAACCCTCTGACTTCTTGTGAATACAAACAAGCTAAGGAAAAAGGAAAAGCAAACAAAGGCAGCCTTGTGGCTCTAAAAATCAGTTTGTTTGGTTGGTTTTTTTTGGGGGGGGGATTGTTTTTTTTTTTCCCTCTCTAATGACACGGTCTGTCTCAATAGGGAAAAAAGGAGAGGGGGCTTCAGATCTGGCTGCCTGCTGTGGTTCAAGAAGCGATGATGACCTCCCTGCCGAGATGAAAGCAAGGCTGCTGCTCCCGAATCCCAAGAAGGTGAACGCTCAGAGGGCACCCGGAGGTGAGATGGACACGGGTGATGGCCTCCATCGTGTGGGGCAGAAGGTCTCCTCCACACCACACCTGGGGCGCCTCTGCCTCCACTCACTCTCAGACCATTTATAGCGCTGGTGCAGCTTGGAGCCATTAAACTGTGCAAACCGCCTGGGGGAGATATAAATGAGGCTTCCCCCTTCGACCCCAAGCTCCTAACCACTGCTCCTTTCTGTTTTCCTGATGGCTGGAAGGCAGAGCTAGGTTTAATATAGTAAATCCCAGCAGAGCTTTGTCGGCCAGTTTATGGACGGTTTCCTCCAAGAATGTGACCCGAGAGTTTCCACTGGACAGTCTCTGAGGGCCCTCCCGGAGTGAAAATCCTATTCTTCTAGCATTAGAGGCTTTATTGGATGAACTGACTGGGGAAGGTAATCTAGTCCTTAGAAAAGCCTCATAAAGGATTTTACGGGGTCAAGGCCATGGAGAATGGAAAATGCAACATCTTCTAACAAAGCGCTGCCGAGCTGCCTGGGTGTCACTGAATTAATAAGATCAGATTGAGGGAGGGATCATAGAAAGCACGGGAAGGAAAATCAGAGGCCACCTGGTCTGAACCTTTCATTTTACAGAAGAGGAAACTGAGGCTCAGGATAAGTGACACAATTTGACCAAGGTCACACAGGCACATGGCAGAGCTGAGATTTGAACCCAAGTCTTTCTGACTCCAGATCAAGCTCTCTCTCTCTCTACTGTGCCCCGGTGACCTGAGTGGCTTCCAAACTGAGAACTAGAGGATGCAGAGCTGGAAGGGTCCTTGGCCGTCACTAAGTCCATCCCCTCCTTTTTATGAGAAGGGATCTGAGAGCCAGAGAAATGAAGGGATACACCCAAGGTCACACAGGTAGCCAGAAGCTGAGTCGGAATTCCATGGGTAACTGCTACCCTTCTTTGGGTTTGGGGTCCTCATCTATAACATGAGGGAACTGGAAAACCTGCCTCTGAGGTCCCAGCCAGCTCCACATCACACGAGCCCACGGAATAGGCTGTGCAGAGAAACTGCCTCTCCAAAGGTCATTCTCACGTAATCCGAGCTCCGCCTGCGAAGTGGACCAATGACATCGCGAACACCATGTCTTGACTCACAAGTGAATTGGATTTAAGTGAGGCAGGGCTGTGCAAAGTCACCAGCCTCACTCTCTCCTCCGGAGTCATTGGAGTCTAGGGGCAAGACAGGTCGGGACGATGGCCCCCACAACAATGATAAAAGACATTTTGAAGCAACGGGTCTCAGTAAATACTCATTGGTTTGAATTTGATCAGGCACATCCATGCACTACTCTAAACAAATTCCTATTTATTATCTTCTTACAGCACTTTTCTTTCTGAATACATATTCCTTTCTCCCTCTCCTGCCCAGGGAGTCATCCCTTACAACAAAGAATTTAAAAGGAAAGAGAGGGAAAAAAAGCAATTCAGCAAAACTAACCCACACATGAACTAAGCCTGACAGTGTACACAATGTTCTGCACCCAGAGACCCCCACATCCACAAAGAAAGGAGGGAGGTGCACTCTCTTAGCAATTCTCCAGAGACCAGCTTGGTCTTATAACACCTGTGCACTGTGAGAGCCCGAAGACAATGAACTTTACAGGTAGAGGAAGGTGATTCCAAAGGGAAGAGAAAGACCTGGAGGATGGGAAGAGGGGGAGTTGGGGAGAGGAGGGGGGGAGAGGGGGAGGGGATGAAGGGGAGAGGAAGGAGAGGGGGGTGGGGGGTGGAAAAGAGGGGGAGAGAGGAGGGGGAGGGGGAGAGGGGAGAGGTAGAGGACACTTCTCCAGCTCTTGAGACTCTTCCCCCAAGCAGGGTGGGGCTCTCAGTTCCATCTTCCTACCTCTAGATACATGGAGAACAGAGGAGGGTGTATACACGTGCACAATCGCATACTCACAGACATACACATATGCACGCACACACAGATACACAACTACATACTCACATATATACTCACAAACACCACACATTCTCACACCCCACACCCATACATAATACAATGAAACATGCCTCACACATAGATACACATACTCACATACACATATATTTGCACTTATATATGCACACATTCACACATTTATTCACATGCACACACATTCACATACATACACACATATTCACACACATTCTCACACTCATTCACATATATTCACAATCACACACACATACATCACATGAATACACACATCATAGACACATATTCACATATCCATCACACATTAATACTCAGACATTCACACATATCACACTCATTCACCCACATACTCATATACATATTTACACATATTCACACACATTCTCACATTTATTCACATGCACACATACATTCACACCTCCCCTCCCCCCCACATTTTCACTCAAATACACAGATTCACACACACAGATCCACATACATCACATTCACACACATCACACACATTCTCACATTCATCTACATACAGTCACACATATTCATATACCTATTTATGCATATTTTCACACTCACATATACATAGTCATACACATCACATACATTCTCATACTCATTCACAGACATGCACAATCACATACACGCAATATGCAAGCTATAAAGCAGACAGCTGAAATCAGTTTTCTGCACCCCCTTTGATTAACAGTCTTCCTGTGCTAGGAGCCTGAAGGGAAAAGGACTGAAAACCACCATAAACAATGGGGGCTTTGAACTCAGTTCTGTTTCCGTGCCACTCGAGAAGAGACGGACCACATGGCAGCAGTAAATATCCACAGTGAGGGTCAGCTGCGATTTTTAACGGTTCTAAATAAGGAGGAAGAAAGAGGATGGGGAAGAAAGCAACAGGGATGGGGTGTTAGGTCTAACTTGCAAGGGATGGATTGATTTCCTTAATCTAGCTTTCTGTAGGTTTCTGCCCAAATGAAGGGGGCAGAGAAGGACAGATGGGGATCCTGGCATGGGGACAGAACAACCCTAGGCATGGCCGCTCTGCTCCCAGACCTCCCAGGTGTGAAGGCAGAAAACTGGCTTCTAGACATTCTGCCCAGAAATGAAGGGGTGTCCGTTAAGAACCTGGCATGGAGAGCCACCCAGAAAAGTACTAGGGACAGCGACCATACTTCCTCCTGAACAAGCAGAGGCTGGTGACTGTCTCAAGGACAGAAGGTGGGAGACAGGTGATCAAAGTTCTTCTGCCTTCTCTACCCAGGGAACCTGGGCCACCTGCCCTGAACACCCAGAAGAAAAGGAGGCAGAAGTTTCTGATGGAGGCCTGTGCTCCGGGGACAGGGCACCAGGAGCAGAGGGAGAAGACCTGGGTTTGAGTCCTGGCTCAGCGACGAGCCAGCTGTGCGGGCAGAGACAAATGGCAGCCCCTCTCTTTTCTAGATAATCTCGCCAGCTCTGCCAACCTAGGAACCCACCATTCCACTCAGGACCACTGGCGGCTTTGGAAACTGCCCATTAATATTAAATTTTCCAACCAAGATCTTCCCAGACTGAAAAAATTCCTGCCTTCCTCTTTAAGAGCAATTTATGGGCTGAAAAGAACGACAGATACAAAGTCAGAGGACCTGGGTTCAAATCCTAGCACCACCACTGCCCACCCATAGGACCCTGGATAAATCACTGGACCTGTCTGGACTTCTATTTCCTCATCTGTAAAACGATGGGGCCAGAGCAAGCGGCCTGCCAGGTCCCTTCCAGATCTTCCCAGGGGATCTAAGCAAGCTCCCTGGATGAGGAGGCCCATATTGACATTAGAGGAATGAAGCTAGGAAGAGTGGCTGTAAATACGAGAGAGGAGCACGCAAGCTAACTGGAACTGTTTTGATGATGCAGACCCAAGGAAAGATATACAATTACGACCACAAAAAAAAACACCACAAAAAACCAAAGCTGAACGTTGTGTAGTTACGCTGACCAAGACTGGCCCTGGAGAGGAACTGAGAACACGGACTCTGCAACCCTTGATATAGAGGTGGGGGCCTATGGGTATGGAATACCATATGCACTGCCAGACAGGAAAGAGGTGTCAGATGGTTTTCCTGAGTTGCTTTTTTTCTCTTTTCTTCTATTATGACAAGGGATAACTTGATGGATAAGGGAAAGGGGAGGGATATGGTAAGGAATGGGATATACAAACAAAAGCTAGCAATGAAAGTTGGACTTTTAAAAATAATAAATATTTGGAGACAGAGGCAGCTGGGTGCAGTGAGCAGAGCCAGGGAGGGCTGTGTGACCCTGAGCAAAGACTTAACCTCTCAGTGCTCTGGGTTACCTCCACATTACTGAGAAGGGGCTGCCCCACACTGGGGAAGGGAGTTGCCTCAGCTGGAAGTTCCCTAAACCAATGGGATCACAAAGCCAGTCCCTGCTCCTTGTAGGTGGCATGCCCTACCCAAATGAATAGACTAGGCAGCTACGGGGTGTCAGGGATGGAAGACTGGACCTGGAGTCAGGAAGACCTGAGTTCAAACCCTGCTTCAGACACTGACTAGCCGGGTGGCTCTGGGCAAGTCACTTAATCCCTGCTTGCCTCAGTTTCCTCATCGGTAAAATGGAGGGTAATAATAGCACCTCCCTCCTAGGGTTGTTGTAATGATAAAATTAGATCATATTTGTATAAAGTGCTTTGCAAAACTTATATATATATATATAATAATATATAATGTATTAATCATACAATTAATATATAATGTGAAGTGTGTGTGTGTGTGTGTGTATAAAATGCAAAAGAAATGTTAGCTATTAGCTAGAGAGACTTGAGTTCAAATTTGCTTCTGACATTTGCTACCTCTGTGACCATGGGCAAGTTACTTAACTTTGCTGAGCCTCAATTTACCCCTCTGTAAAATGAGGGTACGTGCAATACTTTATCTCACAGGGCTGGTGGAAGACTTAAATGAGATAACCCATGTAAAATGCTTACCAAATACAACTACCAGAGGCGCTCTGTTTTTCTCAACTCACTTTTTTTGCAAAACAAATTCTTTACTTAATGAACAAACATTTAGTATGGGTCCCTGGGGTGCATGATACTGGGGACTGGAGGACAAAGAGAAGAGAATTCTAATCTGGAGTGGTTTATCTCCTCCTGAAAAGACAGAAGAGACAAGCTAATGATCTGAAGGGCCGGTCTGGAAGTTCTCCAGTGATCTTCTAAGACAGAAGGAAGGTAGCTACTGAAGGTTACAGTCCACAAAGCCTGGAATGCAGCGGTCAGTCAGAGCGCAGAGGCTGAGACCAGGGAGTCACTTTAGGGCTCCGAGGCTCTCGTCTGGCAGAGGAGTGGACAGTGGCCCGAGGGGGCGGGGCCTAGGCCAAGGTCACAGAGGCCAGGGAGGAGGATGGGCAGTGGCTGAGCCCAGGTGCCACCTTGGGGCTCTGGGCCGAGCCAGGCCCGCCTCCATCCCTCCAAGTGGGGCTTCCTGAGCATCTGGCTGAAAGCCTTCAAAGGGATAGCTTTCTAACACATATTGCTGTGCTCCCCAGGCTTCTCAGGAGACATTCCCCCAGGCTCCAAGTGAAGGTTTAAGATTTCATTTCCTCTTGTTACTCCGTCACCTGGAGTATTCATCAATCATAGGCAGGTTTTTTTTTTTTGGCCAGAACAAATTGTAATATGATGAAAAGAAAAGTACAGAGAAAGAAGGAGCCATGGACAGATTTTTTGAATTCTTTGTGTCAGTATGCTTTCAGACGGAGACTGGCCTTCCCCTCTGTCATCTAGCAATAACACCTCCAGATGCTGCTGCAGAGCCACCAGGAGTCCTGGGTTTAGAGAAGAGTGTCATGGCTACGGCGAAGGGCAGGCAGTTTGCGAGCCTGTCTCGGCTGGAGTCGGTCCCCTGGCCACCACGCCCATCCCTTCTCTGCCTCCATCTGCACTCCTAGCCCTGCGCTGCACCCGAATTCTGGGCTTCCTTCCAGACTCCAGCACCACCTTCAGCAGAAGTTCTTCACGTTGTTGTCCCCTAACCCCGATGCTAGTGCCTTCTAAAGTGACTCCGGGCCTAATCTGAACATGTCACATGCAGACTTACATATGCACGTGTCAGTGCCCCTTTTAGAACGTAAGCCTCCCGAAGGCAAAGGCTATTTCAACTAGCCTTTGTGTCCCAAATGCTTGGCAAGTACTAGGTATTTAATATACATTCCTTCATTGACTCTTAAACTGCCCTTCATATTAAACCTTTGTGCTCCTCTTGGAAATCATATGCGTATGTATTTATACACACATACATTATATATATATATACACATATATTTGTGTATATGCACATAGATATATGTGTATGAACATGTATGAATACATACAATATAACACGTCTATGTGCATGTATATATGTGTATACACATGTACACACACACACATATCTTGTATTTCATTCTTATGGACATATTGTTCCTGACCCCCCCCCCCAGTAGAATGGAAACACTTTGAGGGCAGGGACTATTTCCACCTAGCAGAGTGTCTGGCATAGCAGGTGCTTCACAAATGCTCATCACATTGAACTGAACTGAGAAGAGACTTAGCAAGGGGGGGCGGGGGAGGGGAAGGAAGGCTAAGGGCGAAGCGGGTTGCACCTGTATAAGTCTCTTGCTACATCATCTTCACTGGCTGCAAATCCTCGGGCATCGTCAGTGAAGCTGAAGCCAGTGCCAGTCTACAGGGAAATAAGGAAGCATAGATTCTGAGAAACAAACACGTCAAGGCGCTTCAGCGCTGGGTCCACTCTGAAAAGAGCAGAAGACCCAAGGCCAAAGACTTCAAGTAGGGTGGGGGGGGAGGGGAAGATGGGAGGAGGAGGGGGGAGGAGGGGGAGGAGGAAGAAGAGGAGGAGGAAGGAGAAAAGGAGGAGGAGAGGAGGGGAAAAGAGACAATGTTTATGGCATTTTGTGGCTTATATGAACTTCACCTGCTGATATTCCATACTCAAAACAAGACAAAAAGTAGGGGCTAAAAACATGATTTGGGGCTCGGGGCGGGTGATTTCCCCTGGGCAGGGTGCTCCCAGTAAGGAACTTCCTTCTCTGCCCCTGAAGCCTTTGAATGGGGCCTGGGGCCCTGAGTGACTTGTCCAGGGTCACGCAGCCAAGGGGGGGGTGACCCCAGGCCACATGACTCCATGGCCATCTCACTAACACTAACCCTGCCTCTCACAAGGGTTGTTGTTCTCAAGTAACCAAGGGTCCACAAGATGAACTGCCTCATCCTCTGTCACCCAGTTCATCTGGGGCAGGGCAGGGCTCAGACCCCAAATTCATGCTCTCACCCACTCTATGAGGTGGCTACTCAGTCTCTCTTCTGAACAGAAAAAGTCTGTCTTGGCACACAGTTGGTGCTTAATAAGTGCTTTTTGGTTGATAAGAAGAGACCAACAAGGTAGAAACCAACAAGAGAGTCTGGAAAATACGAATTCAAATACCACCTCTGATATGGCCTAGCTGTGTGACCCTGGGCAAGTCACTTAAATACTCATGGCATCTAAGAAGGGGAGTGACCAAAGAGTTGCTGGTCTGCATCAGCAAATGCAGTGACCACACAGGGAGTGCTCTACAGGTAGAGATCCAAGAATACAGAAAGAAGAGAGAGGATGGAGGCCAATTGTCACAGGAAAAAATGAATTTATAAATAAATTTACAAATAAAAGAATTTATAAATAAGTTTATAATTAAAAGAGTTTTAAGGAAAGAAAAAGCCCAGGGAACTTAATACTGTCATTTTGAGGGTTGAGTACTCACCGGGTTGTCGACGTAGAGCATGGAGAATTTCACAGTCCAAGGAAAATCTCGTGCTCGAACTATTAAAAACACAATAGTGTCTCAAGCCATCACATAAGGAACCAGACCCATACAAACCCTAAAATGCTCTGTGAAGACAGGCAGTGTGAGGTGACACCAACTGTCCTGAGTCCCTGGGTCTGAGGCTCATTCAGGCTGTTGAAAAGGACTCACTCCTCACTGTCCCTCAATGAGGACCCAGCCCACCTTCCTCTCCCGAGGGCTCTGTGGCTTCTGAAATGTGGGCTGAAGCTAGAGAGACACCCAGAATGACACGGGAAGGAGCCTGCCTCATGGGAAGTGATCCATGAAGAAGAATCCGTCTTAATACAACACCAATAAACACAACTGTCGAAGCGGATCATATATTATATCATAAACTTCAATATTCAGCATTCTGTTTTTAATGTGCCTACTAAATTGAGCGAAGTAGTAACAAAATTATCCTGTTATTTCCCTGTCCCCTTCTAAATGTCTTTTCAGGGTATTTTTGTCCTAAATTTCGTTGCAGTAACAATAATTATTTATATAAGTCATCATCATGGGCGCAGCTAGGTGGCATAGCAGATAGAGCGCCATCTCATCTTTCTGACTCCAGGCCCGGTACTCTCTATCCCCTGCACCACCTAGATGCCCATCCCCATTTTACAGAGGAGGAAAACTGAGACAAACAGGTTAAGTGACTCCTCCAGGGTCACAGCTAGTCTGAGGCCTAATTTGAACTCAGGCCTTTCTGACCCTAGGTCCACTGCATCACCCAGCTGCCCCTAACTTAATGAGTTTATGGCAATATCTCGGAGTTGTTTTAGTTTGCCTTTCTCTATTAGCAAGCTCGGCCACTTCTTTCATGTGACTGTTTAATTTTTTTTTTCTTTTTGAGAACAGATTGATCATATTCTTTAACTACTTATATTTTGGAAATCAATCTCATTTCCATAAATTTGTGCCAAATCAGGCAGGTTTATTGCAAAGCAAAGAAACCTTCCCAATCTCATTCTTCCCTTTTAATTCTGGATGCATTGCTTTTTGTTGTGTGAAAATTCTCATTCCTCCGTGGCCAGATGGCTCTTCTGGGCCACCACAGAATTTTCTGCCTTTCCACAGCTGCAGTGAACATCATTGGTCTCTTGTGTTTTGTCCGGATGCAAACAAAGATCAAAGCTTAAGAAGCACAGATTCCCAGATCAGAGTGAGCCACTGGCCGAGTTTTCTGTTTTTATCACCATGAAATGCTAAGCTCTTTCTGCAGGCTTTGTGCTCCCCCTGAGCTATCTCTGGAGACACAGAGGGCAGAGGAGGGACAAGGCTTACCTGTAAGGTTCTTGTTCACAACATAAGGCCCGTGTTCAACAAAGAGTCCAAACATTGAGGATCCCCCGGGTCCCCCCTGCAGCCAGAGAACAACTGGAGCATCGTTGGGGTTTTCCTGCAGCGTGGAGAGACCCAAAGACAGATGATCACATGAACCATCCCACCAGGTGGATAAAAGAATCAAATAATTTTAAGAGTTGGAAGGAACTGCAAAGGTCATCTAATTGCACCTCCTAAGTCAACCTCTTTCCATCAAATCATCTTCATAATGGAGAGTAACAAAGCTTTGTCTCTGTTAAAAATAAGACAGCATGTCCAATGAATTAGGGGTCCATTACAGAGCCTATGTATTATCTACAGGTCCCTCAGTGACATCTATACTACGCAGCCTGGTGTAGATGTGATGCCTGGGTTCACAAAGGCTACTCCAGGAGAATCAAAGCCCAGCACAGGGGGACGAGGACTAGCCCTCGAGCCAGAGGTGGTGTTTTTTTCCTATCATTTTAGTCAAGTCCATCTCTTCATGACCTTATTTAGGGTTTTCTTGGCAGAGATACTGGACCTAGGTTCAAATCTTGCCTCTGCCAATACTACCTAAGTGACCATGGGCAAAGTCACTCTAGCTCCTGAGCCTCAGTTTTCTCTTCTGTAAAATGAAGGAGTACATCTAGATAGAGGTCCTTACAGATACAAATCTATGGTCCCACCATGCCAGCAAAGCTCTGAAGACCAGTCTGGGCATGGACTTTGTCTGAAGACCAGCCTAGCTCAGCTCAGAGATGCTCATCCCCAATTAGCTACAGGGGGAGGAATTACTTTGGCCACAACAATTCTCTAAGAGGACCCTCTAAGGGGAAGAGGACCTGTGGTGTACATCATTGTTGGGAGGAGAATCCATATGGATCCTTGAACTATGAGCTCATCTATCATACTTAGGATTCATTCCTCCATTCATTCACTCTGCTGGAGACTCTACAGCCAACTGATGAGCTGACCCTTACAACCTGGGTTCAGATCTGACCTTTGCTACTTACTCCCCATGTAAGCTTGGACTTGGTCCTGGTCTTCCTTGGGCCTCTCTGTACAATGAGACTAGAAGGGCCTCTAAGGTCCTCCCAGCCCCAGATCTAAGAGTCCTATGTGAAATCACTCAACCTCCCTGGGCCTCAGTGAGGTCCCTTCCAGCTCTACAGCTATGCCTTGCGCAGGGTCATTTAGCGACCAACATCTGAACATCTATTTGAATCCAGATCTCCGACTCCAAATCCAGGACTCTATCCAGCAGGGCGGGCTGCCTTTGAAATGCGCCCTACACCTCTCCCTCTCTGATGCCCTATCTCAGTTCCTCACCCTAAGCTGCCCCTCTCCTCTTTGCTGTTCCATCTCATGCCCTGGCACAAGGTAACATGGAACCTGGCCACCTTTCCACAGTCCACCTGACCCCAAAGGGTGCACTAGAAAGCTAGAGAACATGCCACATCTTTATTACGTAACTTCCAAACAGGGAGCTGAATTCTTGAGATGTTTAAATAGGAAAGGTGCAGCCCGTGGGCCTCCAGCCTCAGCTGACTTGCATTCTCCAGCATGTCCTTGAAGGGAAGGTGAGGCAGCCTTCACCACCCACGGCAATCTGTGCTTCCAGAAAGCCTGAGTCACACCTGTCCCCGACAGCCTCTAAGGTAATAGCTCCCTTAGCCAGAAGGAGGGGCAGAAAGTCAACTGGGAAAAATACATTTTTACATGCTCTGTTTAAATTATCTGAGAGTTATTTACATCAAGATAAGGAAACCTGGGGATTTTTTTTCCTTTTTTTGATGTAATGTTTACAGAGTCCCTCAGAAGCAATTACACACTCACTCTGGGGGCAATACACTTTCTGCATTCCCATCTGAGGATGAGGCTTTCTTCCCCCCTTCCTTTTTTAGCAAAGACAGAAAGAGGACAAAATTTAAGGCACCTTCTCAAACAAGGCCTTTTGAAGAAGGTTAGGCCAGCATGCCAACAGTGATGAATATTCCAATCACAGGTCTGAAGCTGGAAGGAACCTATGAGACCCCCTCATTCAGACAAGGAAACTGAGGTGAGGAAGGTGATGACTCACACAGGGTCAATGGGAACTCAGAATTTGAACCCAGATCCTCTGACTCCTTTAGCAGACCTCCTTCCACAGTACCATACTGCCTCAACTCAATTACTTAAGGAGTTATAAAATTAGAGAAACCATGTTAAAGATATTTGTCCAATTGCTATTATTTATACTGACTGTGGGGCTGGAAGGAAGAAATGAGGTACATTTATCAGCACAGCAGATATCTGGAATCAGTGCTGGGTTCAAATCTTGAGTCTGCCATTTATACCTGGTGTCCTTGGGCAAATCACCTTAACCTCTCTGGGCTGCATTTACTTAATTGTGAAATGAGGGGGTTGAAAAAGATGGCCTTGGAGGAACCTCCCAGCTCCGAGCCCAGAAGCCTGGGAACCTCAGCTTCTTCATCTGTGAAGTGAGGGGGCTACAGCACCTTGAAGGTCCCTTCTAGCTCACAACCTAGAGTTCTGCTAACTAAGGAAAAAAAAAAGCTTGAGCCTGGGGGATGATGGAAAGAGGGTTAGATCTGGAAAAGATCCTGGGTTTGAATTCTGGCCCTTGAGCAAGAACTTTCACTTTCCTGGGCATCAGTTTCCTCATCTGAAAAGTGGGGGTCTGGACTAGATGACCATGGGGGTCTCTTCCACCTCTGATTATTTTACAGAAACTCCTGGCTGAGGGCAGCGCAGCAGAAAGGGAAAAGGCATTTTAGAAATTCACACAAAATTCAGATTCTTGCAATAACAGGAAACGACCGGAGGGTCGAGGAGGGCCTGGGATCTGCAAGCAGAGAGAGGCGGGTGGTGGTGGAATCCTGGGAGGCCGAGGCTCAGCTCAGCGAGGGATCAGAGACTCTCAATTCTTCTGGTGACCTCTGGTGGCCGACTCATGAACTGGACACTGCTCTCAAGGGCTCCGTGGTGGGAAGGTGGCCCAAACCACCCACGAAACTGAGCTGTCCGACTTTTAAAAATGAACACTGCTTAATTAATAAGTGATAACCGCCTGAGGACGAGAAGTCATGGCCTCCTTATTAGAAGACTCTTAGGGTATGCATTCAGTCGGCAAGTTCTTCCTTACATCCTAACTAGATTCCCTCTTGCTACAATTTAGGCACTTTTCTCCCAAAATGGAGCTCTAGGACCCATGTTCAGCCCCTCAGCCAGGAATTCTGGGCCTCATTTCCATCTCTTTTCTGTTTCTTGGTCTGAGTACCATGACCAAATCCATATTTCAAATGAGTATCAATGGACCAACCCTACCCATCGTTCACTCACCAGTCAATAAGCATTTATTAATCACCTACAGTATACTGCTATTCATCCCCCAGACTTCCCAAATCAAAACACTCAATGCCCGGGCCACCACTTCCCTCCACCCACATTCACCCCCATGTAAGGGCCATGAGCAAAAGGGCTGGGTCTCTTTTATCTTTTTACCCCCCAAACATAGCACTTGGCACACAGCAGGTGCTTTTAAAAAAAGCTTTCCAATTCATGCATTCACTTTCTCTTAATCTTCTTTGGAAAACTGTTTTAGAAATATCCTATTTTATAAGCTTTCCTCCTACTTTTAAAGGAATCCAAAAGAAGTCATTACCAGGTAGTCCTCTCTCCAAGAGAAAAGAAAAGAAAGGAAAGGAAAGGGAAGGGAAGGGAAGGAGGAAGGGAAGGGAAGGGAAGGGAAGGGAAGGGAAGGAAGGGAAGGGAAAGGGAAGGAAGGGAAGGAAGGGAAGGGAAGGGAAGAAGGAAGGGAAGGGAAGGAAGAAGGGGAAGGGAAGGAAGGGAAAGGGAAGGGAAGGGAAGGGAAGGGAAGGGAAGGAAGGGAAGGGAAGGGAAGGGAAGGGAAGGGAAGGGAAGGGAAGGAAGGGAAGGAAGGGAAGGGAAGGGAAGGGAAGGGAAGGGAAGGGGAAGGGAAGGGAAGGGAAGGGAAGGGAAGGGAAGGGGAAGGGAAGGGAAGGGAAGGGAAGGGAAGGGAAGGGAAGGGAAGGGAAGGGAAGGGAAGGAAGGGAAGGAAGGGAAGGGAAGGGAAGGAAGGAAGGGAAGGGAAGGGAAGGGAAGGGAAGGGAAGGGGAAAGAAAGGAAAAGAAAAGAAAAGAAAAGAAAAGAAAAGAAAAGAAAAGAAAAGAAAAGAAAAGAAAAGAAAAGAAAAGAAAAGAAAAGAAAAGAAAAGAGAAAAGAAGATAAAACCTAGCCCCAAATGGCAGAATCTTTCCTCTCATGCACAGGGGTCCCTGGCTACACTGTACTTCCCACAGGCTGCCTGCATCCCTTCTCCCACCTTCCTCCTCCTCCATCAAATGTCCTAGAAATCATTCTCTCCATGCTTCTATACCAGGTAACCAGTAGTTAATCTGACCAGATATTCTGAGCTTGTTCTGTTTTATTTGTGTGATTTCAGCAGTGTAAAAAGCCTCCAGAGGGAAAGCTTCCTTCACCTTCAAACGAATTGATGGCATCATTTATCTGTAAATAGGCAACTCACATATAAATTCAATCCATCCTTGACTCAACAGCCAAAGTGATTTTTCTTTCTTTTTCTTTTTTTTAATTACAAGGCATTTATTAAGTTCCTACTGTGAGCTGGGTACTGCTAGGCACTGGAGATTGGAACACCACAGTGAGATAGTTCCTGCCCTCGAGAAGCTTACATTGTAACAGAGAAAGAGAACAGGTTTAAGAGGAATCCTGGCCAGAGAGGAGAATTGTGATTTGGGGTGACACCAAGTGATTGTTCTAAAGTCTAGGTCTATGTCACCCCTACACCACCTTCAGTAGCTCCCACCTTCAGGATCAAATTGAAAATGCTTTATTTGGAATTTAAAGCTCTTCAGAACGCAGTCCCTTCCTACATCGTACTGCCCCCTCCAACTACGAGCCATTCCCCAATAGGAAGCCACCCCCTTATAGTTTCCAGTTTTTCCTACTCTGTAAAGAACTGCTATCAATATTATTGTACATATGTTATACATACATACACATACATATACATATGGTACATATTGTACATACATATTGTACATACTTTTTCTCTCATCTCTTTGAACTACAGGACTAGTAGTTGCTGGTCAGTTGTATCCACCTACGATCCCAGGGACCATACTGTCCATGGGGTTTTCTTGGCAAAGATACTGGAGTGGTTTGCCATTTCCTTGTCCAGTGGATTAAGGCAAACAGAGGTGAAGTGACTTACCCAGGGTCACACAGCTAGCAAGTGGATTTAAACTCAGGTCTCCCTGACTCCAGGTCCAGTGCTCTATCCACTGAGCCACTTAGCCGCCTCCTTATAGACCTAGTAGTGAATACTAACATTTTATTGCTGTGAACGTTCTCAAATACAGTGAATTTTAATGACATACTCTGGAGCCAAAGTATTTTAAAAAGTAAAAAGTCCCCCTAATAGTGGGAATTTTGACACTGCAAAGAGGGCTACAAAAATTTAAATAGAAATTTAAAATTTAGGTCGACCTTCTGGAGTGGCCCCAACCTGCCCATCCAGATGGCTGTGTCTATGCCCAAGGTTCACCCAAATGAGGAACCCCACAGCCTTTGAGAAGATGTAGCCACAAACAGCAAACCCCAACCTCCAAGATGTCTATGCCACTTAGCCCTAAGCTGGGAAAACCTATTAAAATGTTAATTAAGGCCTTATTTACATGTCTCTGTCTGAGTCTCAGTCTGCTTTTCAGGGAGATGCCCTATCTGGACAAAACTCAGTCAGCCCAGCAGTGAGTGTGTCTTTCTGTTTTACCATGCGTGTCTGAGTGGATCTGTCTGGGCCAAAATGCCCTGAACTAGGCTGATAGAGCATATCTCCCTTCAAACAAATGGAAGGCCTTGAGAATAAACAGAAACACGACATCTGTCCAGCTCCCCAGCTACGCAGCCCTCTGGACATCTGAGCGTCTGGACACAGGACGCGCAATGCTCTGGGCGACGAGCAGAGTCCAGTCTGGCTGAAGAATCACAGAGATTGGCAGGGGCAGCAGGCTGTGGCCTGGTAGGGTAGGGTTTTAAAGCTAGTTAGGAGAAAAGTCTATTTTCTCCTAGACTCAATAGGTAGCCGCTGGAGTTTACTGAGAAGGGGAGTGATACTGTCAGATCTGCCCTTAAGGAACATCACTTCCTCCCAAGAGTGGAGAGGCTTGAGGCAGAGAGATCGATTGGGAGGCTGCTGCCCTAACCTAGGGGAGAGGGGAGAGCTGAGGCAGGGGAGAGAAGGCAGCAGAGGCCAGAGATGGCGTGAAGGCAGAAATGGCTAGGTGTGCCACCTGGTGAGATCGGTGGGGAGCAGGAGGGGAGGGGCTGAGGGGTGCATGCAAAGGGGTTGTCCTGTGGCAAGGAGGACCGAGGGAAGGGAGGGATTGGGAGATGACGTCAAGGGGCTTTGAGATGCAGACAGGGAGAAGCTCACATGGACCAGTCTCAATTATTTTCAGTAAATTAAGAGGTGCAGCCCTCAGCTGGCAAGGCATGAGGCTTGAGAAGGTTTGGGATGGCTTGTATGAGGAGCGACACAGAGAATCCTTTAGAGAGGAATAAGAGGGCTATTCTGACACAGTGAGACCCCTGGCTAAAGCTGGGTATCATGAATGTATAATGTACCCAGCCAGCACTTCATGGTGGTGTGACTTGGTTCAACCCACTTGGAGCAGGTGAGAAAAAACAAAGGAAAGGAATGGAGGGAGAGGGGAGACTGTGGGGTTGAGGTCTCAGGCAAATGATGAATGGCAAATAGGGGGGAAGGGTGCAAAAGGAGAGTTAGCGTGGAGCTTAGCTGGCGAGGGAGGAGAGCCGAGTCAGAACAGTGGAACGGACTGAGAAAATACCACTGGGTGACTCCCCATCCTGGAGGTCCTTTACGTGTGTTCCTCTTGCTACTGGGGTCTGCCTTAGGAATCCCACCTACCCACCCCCCAAAAAAAGGACCTGGAGGTATGCAAGCTCAGCCTCCTTCCTACAGGTCATGTTTCCTCTCCTTTGCATGACTGACCCGGACCTTATGTCCCCCCCAATAGCAGTATCAGGCCTTCTTACTAAAACAGGACTTTCTGGGGTTTTTATTTTTTTTCTATGAGGCAGCTGGGGTTAAGTGACTTGCCCAGAGTCACACAGCTACTGAGTGTTATGTGAAAACAGCACTTTCTGTGACAGGCTAAAACATCAATATTTCTGCCTCCTACAGGGATGCCTCCTCATCTCTTTTGTCTCTGCTTCTCCTCTGGACATCCTCCCTCAATCCCACTTTTGGAATGGATAGGAATACTATCCACTCTTTTATCTCCTTCTCCCAGCGTCTACATTCTGGAACCCACCACACATCTGTCACAGTTGGAGGGGCTCTGGCTTCCACTGCAGCCTTCTGTCAGAGCTCTCCCGGACTGTCTGACAGGGCTGCCCAGGTGACATCCAGAGTCCTTTATAGCCATGGCTCCAATGGGCTTTGTCTGCCCCCAAGGGCCTTCTATCACTTTTTTTTTTTGGCTAGGCAATGGGGTTAAGTGACTTGCCCAGGGTCACACAGCCAGTAAGTGTTAAGTGCTTGAGGCCGAATTTGAACTTAGGTCCTCCTGACTTGAGGGCCTGTGCTCTATCCACCGTGCCACCCCTTCTATCACTTCAAAACTGGGCTCTGCAGTCATTTCCCCAGCGTTAGAATGAGAGGTTATCTCCACAGGATAGCCGTCAGTTCCCTCTGGGACCTTGCCTGAGGCCTGGAAGAGGAGACAAAGCTGTCAGACCTCATTAGGGGAGCCTGGCTGGGGGTTCACCGAATGAAGCCATTGCTCATTGATCTGGCTTGGGAAGTTTGCTGGGTTGCCAGCAGAGGGTGCAGAGCTGAAATCTATCGCTTCACAAGGCCACACTGTCACCAAGAGAGCCAAGCAAAGGATGGGTGGCTGGCATTTATAGAGCGCTTTAGGGTCTGCAGGCAAGAATGAATGAATGAATGAACAAATGAATGAATGATGTGAATGAATGAATGAATGAATGACATGAATGATAAGACATTTATTAAATGCTTGCTATATACCAAACACTGCATTCATTTTCTACCCTCTGATTTCACCACAACCTTGGAAGGCAGGTAGGTCAGGTATTACCTTTCTCATCTTTCAGTTGAAAAATAAGTAGCTATGGTCCCTGGGTTGCACAACTGGTAATAATTAGAGCTGACAGGGCAGCCAGATGGTGCAGTATATAAATCTCCAGCCTCGGAGTCAGGAGGACCTTAGTCCAAATCTGGCCTCAGACACTTGGCACTTCCTAGCTTTGTGACCCTGGGCAAGTCACTTAACCCTGACTGCCTCACCACAAAAAAAAAAAAGAATTGGAGCTGAAATTAGAATTCAGGTCTTCCTAACTATACTCAGGTATAATGCCTACCTCCTTCCCCATCAGATCACTTAGACCTCTACCAATTCTGGTGTTAACCAGTAAGATTTACACAGCTAAGTTCTGTCTTTTTTTTAAAAATGGGTGCTTACCGTTGCAGTGTTAGAACAACCTATCTTGGCCAGGGGAGGAGATGAGGAAATAAACCTCCCTTCTTTCTTTGGAAAGGTGGGGGTCAAGGGATGCCAAAGTCGAAAGTCAGATTTTGTGCCAGGATCACAAATGTCTAAGTAGACCGGGTCTTAGCTAGTTCACCTCATTTTACAGAGAAGGAAATCAGGTCTAGACTGGCGAAACAACCTTCCCAAGGCCACCCAGCACTACCCGGAGGGGCAGGGGCAGAGGGAGGGGACAGGATTCCAAGCAGGGTCCTCTGGCCCCATCTAGCCGGCTTTTCCCACGTGCCTCACTGCTCAGTTTTGCATGAATGTTTGCTGTGTTACAAAGCGAGGCTTGAAGGGTAGTGATAGAGAGAAGAGGGGGTGGTCAGGAGTGGGCAAACGTACCTCCAAATGACTGCGAGATTAACACACAAACAAGAAATCCATAAAACTTGAAAACATAAAAGTGAGTTTTCATTATCCTGCTTGCTGCTCCTCTCTGTAAAGAAGAAAGAACTGTCTGGCTGGCTGGGTTGGGCTTTGCTTTTTTCTGAAAGAGGGGACTTCTCTGACTTACTTTATGATTCTTTGAAGCCATTTTTGGGTGACTATTGCCACCTTCTTCCTGCCTCCCTCTTTCTCGTATCTTCATAGTTCTAAAAATTCCACGAGGGAAACAGTGTGTAGACGTCTGTGTTCCTGAGACAAGGGCCTCCCACCCGGCTGATTCCTTATGACCACTGGTGGGGATGAGCTCCCAGTGGAATGTTCAGAGTCCCAGCCAGGCCTTAGCCCTCTGCTGGTTTCTCCCACCCTGCTCAGGTCACCTCAAGCCTACGAACTGAAAGAGAAGCACGTTCTGTCCATCCCTGCTGATGGGCGTCTTCAGCGACCTGCTTTTGATGTAGACACACTTTGAAGGTTTTACTGAGTGCCTGCTGTTTGGTAAGTCAGTTGTGTCCAACTCTTCATGACCCCATTTGGGGTTTTCTTGGCAAAGATACTGGAGTGGTTTGCCATTTCCTTCTCCAACTCATTTTACAAATGAGGAAACTTAGGTAAATAGGGTGAATTGATTTGCGCAAGGTAATAAGTGTCTAAGGGAGGATTTGAACTCAGGCCTTTCTGACTCCAGGACCAACACTTTATTCACTACACCACCTAGTAGGATTATAGAGTAACCCTGGACCCATCAGATTATAGCCTTGGATCTGGAAGAGAAGTGACAACTTATCTAAGTCAACCTTCTTATTTCATAAATGTGGAAAGTGAGGCCCAGAGAGATGATGTGATTTCCCCATGGTTACACGGGTCCTAAACAGAAGAGCCAGGATTTGAACCCAGTTCCTTTGACTTGAAATCTAATAGTCATCCATTTTGCCACCCAAAGGGAACCTTCTGCCACTGTAGTACCTTACTACAGCCCTCCACCTACCTGAGCTGGAAAGAACCAGAAGAAGAGGTTGCTGTTATAGGTTTCATTCACGGTGAGGTAGCCAGAGTAACTCTTCACATTGGTTCCTGGGAATGGGCCGACCAGACTCAATTGTTTGCCTTGAAAGAAAATGAGAGCCCCAAATGAGGAAAGAGACGAGGTTAGAGCCTGATTAGGGATCATGGCCCCCATTGGGACCAAAATCATAAAGTCGCCAAATTTCAGAGTTGGCCACCTAGCCCAACCCCCACCTAAAATCGGACCTCCTCAACAACATGGTGGACAACGGCTCTTCCACCCAACCTTTGCCCAAACACCTCCAGGGAATGGAAACCAGGGCAGCACATCCTACTTTTGTAGGAAGGTATCAATGTAAGGAAGACTTTTCTTCCCCTTCCATCAACCCTAAATCCAGGCATTGGAAATAAGTAGAAATGCAAAGACAAGCGTAACACCGACAGGGAAGTGTCAAGAGTTCACGGATTCAGGTCCTACCCCTGTCATTTACTTTGGGCTTAGACCAATCATCAAATCTGCTTGAGCCTCAGTTTCCTTCTCTGTAAAATAAAGGGGATGGATCTGATGACCTCCAAGGGCCCTTCCAGCTCTAAATGTTGGGAGCTAAATGTAAACCTTCACCAGCTGCGCCATGGTTCTCTGGCCAAGGCTCATAGCAATCAGTCATTTTTAAAGCCTGGTGAAGCCCAGTGGCACCTTCTAGTCCAATCCCTTCATTTTGCAGATGAGTAAACTGAGGCCCAGGAGTGATTTCCTCTGTCCAAGGTCACACGGCAAGTCGGTTCCCCTGAGCCCCACCTCCAGGTAAGAGGCCTAATGATGGCAGACTGTGACTCAGAACCTGAGGGGAAGAGTTTCCTGCTTGACGAAGGCAGTAAAGGTAGGGTGATTGGGAAGGCCCCCACCCTAACAACAACAATAACAAGAGCTAGCATTCATACGGCCCTTTAACCTTTGCATGTTACCTCATTTGACCCTCATAACAACCTTGTAAAGTAGATGCTATTATTATCACTCCCACTTTACAGATGAGGAAACTGAGGCTGAGTGACTGGCCCAAGATCACACAGCCAGTAAATGTCAGAGACTGTATTTGAACTCAGGTCTTCACGATTTCAGCGCTCTGTTTACTTCAACGCTTAGCTATCCAATATCCTGGTGGAGCTGCTCGCCCACGTGGGGAAGCCCTCCAAGGACAGCCAGGCCTGCCTATCCCATGGGATTCCTGTCCTCCCACCCCAGGTGGAAAGGGAGGGGTCACATGAAGCCAGTGAGGAGCCTCCCTATCATTTCTGGAGGACATCCTCCGCCTTAGTTCTCTGGCCTCATTCCTCCTTGGTAATATGCAGCAACCTGCTTAGGCCTCACCCGGCCTCTTGGGTCCAAGCTCACTTTTATTCTGTGGAGGTGCCAACGTCCCCTCAGAAGGCAAACATCAACCAAGACCTTGGTCTGAACCACTTTAAGTAGATAATTTGCTGCACTCAGTGATCTGGCCCTGAGAATGGGTGGGAGGGAAAGGGCGGCCCTTCTGGAGCTGGAGAGGTCAATGTGAAGCCGTGGCCTTCTCTAGCAAGCAATGGATAGGAGATAGGAAATGGAAAAGGAATTCAGAAAGACAGGCAGGAGGGCAAAGACACATTCCTGCCTCCTAGCAAGGCCCAGTCGGGTCAGACCTGGGTTTGAATCTTGCCTCAGACACTATTAGGTAAAAGCCCCTTCCCCTCTCAATCTGCTCTGAGTAAAATGCAGATAACATCCCCCCAGTCCCCACCTCGAAGGATTGTATTCGAAGTGAAATAAAGCGATAAATACAAAAGGCCCTTTATAATCCTTAAAGTGGCAGGAAGGTTTGCCTAACGAGCTAGAAGCGTCCAGTGCGCCAGCTCCCCAGTTTAAGGCATCAAAAGCCACAGCCAGGAACGTCAGCATCCCCCCTAGCTGGCTCCCGAGCCCTGGAGAAGCCCATGTACCTTGGTCGGAGGAATCCCTGCCCCTTACCATGGGAGAAGGAAGGAAAGAGGGCCTGGTTGGCTGGTTTTTTAATGATGATGAAAGGTACACACGGACCTCCACCTACTCCCCCTTCCTTTTTACTATCAGCGCAGACCTTGAGTTTCTGCGGTAATCTGCCTCTTGTAGCAAGACTCCAGCGTTCTCCCTGTTTGGCAGGTGCTGGTATTTCTCACCAGCCCCTATCACTGACCCTGACCCTTTTTCCCCAGAAAGGGCATCTTTCAGGGACGAGCAGAATCTAAACACACACACACACAAAGGTTCACATTATTTTCTTTTTAACTCATCCCAATCACTTATTTAGTCTGAGAAGAAAGAAGGAAGATGGAGAAATAAAGACTGGAAAACAAAGGCAAGGAAAGGTTGGGGGAGGGTCATAGAAGGGAGAGACATAATAATCATAACAATAGTAACTAATACTCCTAGGACCTGAAAGTTTGCAAAGTGCCTCATTTGGGCCCCGTAGCAACCCTATAGGGTTGTTCCTGGAGGTATTATTACCCCCATTTTACAGAAGGGGAAACTCAGGCTCAGATCAATTGACTAGTCTAGGGTGGCAGAGAAAGACGCAAAAAGGCAACATGGAAAAAGAAACCTGGATTTAAAAAATAATGATAATAAGCAAGGAAAATACCATCATTCTATGCCTCATTTGTAAGCCTTAAGGTTTATGATAGCTAGAGTTTATAGGCAGCTAAGTGGTACAATGAATAGAGCACAGGATGTGGAAATGTGGACTTGGAAATAGGAATTCAAGTCCAGCCTCAGACTCTTACTGAGTGACCCTGGGCAAGTCACTGTACCCCTCTGTGCCTCACTTTCCCCATCTGTAAAATTGCAATCCTCACAGGGCTGTGAGGATCAAATAAGTCAGCATATACAAAGTGCTCCACAAACCTTAAAACACTACACAAATGCTAGCTATTATTAAGACAAGTTAACCAGCCATTCACAAACACCTATTTTGTTTCTAGTTCCTCTCTATACAGGTGAAATCATAGGTCCTCTCCCTATCCCTATTTTTGCTACAACAGAAGCAGGACTTTTTCTAGCAGTGAAAAAGTAGAAATAATGCAGATGCCTAGCAACTAGGGAATGGCTAAACCAGCTGTGGAACTTCTATGAACCAGGCAAGCAGAACCAGGAAAATATCATTTTTTTCCTGGTATGATGACCACTCCCGGATAAATGGGAAGAACGGCACCACCCAAGTCATCCACTATTTGCTATGAAAATATAATGGCCCAAAAAAGAGTGAACAGGGAAGACTTAGGGCCCCTCCCCCACCTCAATTCTTTGAAGAAGTGAAGGACTCTGGGTACAGAAGGCTGCAGATCAGGTCTGACTTCCAATCATTGGCTAGTTTTGCTGAAATATTTTATTTTCTTCTCTGGTATAAGGGATGGCCTTCTGGGAAGGGGAGAAGAATGGGATACATTAGGAAATGAAGGGCAGCTAGGTGGCGCAGTTGACAATTACTAGCTGTGTGACCTTGGGCAAGTCACTTAACCCCAACTGCCTTAAAAAAAAGGGGGGGGGAAATGTAGCTCACTGAAAAAAGCTATTAATTATAATTTACTTTGTAAAACACATTGCTCTGAGTATTTTTGTAGGTCCTGACCCTCTGTCATTGATTTCTTCAGAATCTTTTTTTTAAGGGGATGGTGAAGGGGGGGAGAAAATTTTAAGAAACAAACAAAAAATAAAACCTCAAGGTTTTCAAAGCACCAGAGTAGAGAATGACGTTAATGCTAATGGGTTCAAGGCCAGGTCTTTAGATTCTGGGCAGCGGCTCCAAAAACAGCCAAGGTCGCTTGAGTCAGCACAGAGTCAAGTCCAGATTCTCTTCTGTTGTCCAGGTAAGCTGTCTTTTCCAGGAAATTAAAGCTAGTGATTTGTGTTTCCTGTCCTTTGGATTTCTGTAGTTTGCCATGTGCTGCTCATGGTGCTGATCACTTCCTGTCCTGTATGTGAGCCATCTGGGCGAGGGTCTTATCTCACTTAGGAGATCAAAAACTTCCCAGAAGGAGAGGAGGGGGAAGGGAGGGCAGGCCATACGTGGCTCCTCTCTGTGTCCCCAACAGTCCCTTACAGAGAGCTAGGCGGTGGTGGTGGTTCAGTCATGTCCAGCTCTTCATGATCCCACTCGGGGTTTTCTTGGCAAAGATACTGGAGTGCTTGGCCATTTCCTTCTCCAGCTCATTTGACAGAAGAGGAAACTGAGGCAAACAGGGTGAAGGGACTTGCCTAGGGTCTCACAGCTAGTAAGTATCTGAGGCCAGATTTGAAGATGAGTCTTCCTGACTCCAGTCCTGGCGCTCTATCCACTGCCCCACCTAGCTATACCCTAGTACAAAACAGGTGCTGCAGACAGATTTGTTGAGTGAAAGAATCAGTGAATGAATGAGTGAAGGCAAAAATGACAACCGAGTTGTGACCCCTTCCAGCAGTTTCCTGATCTGTAAATCGAGGGACCCTCCCGCAGGATGTCTTTTGTATGATGCTCCAAGTTCTCACAAATACTTCCCTCCCAACAACCCTGCAGGGTAAATAATGTTTAAAAAAACAAAACAAAGCAAAAAATAGAAGCAGGTGGAACCAGGAAAATGCAATGTAAATATGATTGTGTTGATTTTACAGCTGAGAAAACTGAGCCTCTGAGAGGTTTAGTGATCTGCCCACGATCTCAGCGCTGGGGCGCACCGGAGGCAGCTCTCCTGCCTCCAAGCTCCCCCCTCTGTCTGCTCTGCCGTGTTAACAGACCCACGAGGTGTGTTTCTAGGGCAGCCATTGGATGTCATTGACGTCTTAAGAGGTCTGGTTTTCTGGTGTTTGCTTCAATATTTGGCCCTCATTAGAGCACTTCATCATGTTTGAAAGATGAAATTTCTCCTCCAGTGGAGTAGCAGATGTACCACAGAAGCCAGAATAGAGAAAGCCCAGATGTGGGGTCACAGAACCTGGGTTTCAGTCCTGGCTCTGACACTCATTACCTATGTGACTGTGGGGAAATCACTTCATTTCTCTGGGCAGCAGTTTTCTCACGGAAAATGAGGGCACGGTAGGTGCCTGGCACACAGAAGGT